TAATAATATAATGCATCAGCTCTCTGTATCGACATATTTTCCGTCATATTTTGATATCTTATTCAAAACCCGTCAAAAACAGCGTAATGGCTTCATTTACTTTAGTTTTTAAAATATAAATATGAAAAATCTTCATTTAACGAGTGAAAATGTTAAGGTTCACTGAATTTTAGCCAGAAATTGGAACTTTTGTGTGGAAATTGGTATTTTGAATGATTGATCTCGATATCCAATTTAAATTAATCCGTAGATCTGCTTGATCCAGAGATTCCCAACCTAAAAGTTCTGACTTCTGAGGCCGAATTTAAAGAATTTAAGCCGCGACTTAAATTTAAGCCGCGGCTCAAATATAGTTGGTTCCACTTAAAATTGTATTGAATTTTTAAGCCGGCGCTCAATTAAAACCGGTTTTTGGCGGATTTGAGACCCGGCTCAAATTCATTAAATTTTGACTCTGGACCTATAACTTAAAAAAACAACACATATTTATGTCATAATATGTTTCGTGAACACAATTCCGTATTCCTTTAAAAAGAGATATTTTAAACAGTATAGTTTTAGCTTCTTGGAGATGCTTTTCTATAAATTATCAAATGTAAAAAGTTACATTTTATTGTAAGTATTTTTAAGATTTACATTAAGTAACAAAGGAACAAAGGCGTGAGAATATCTATAATAATACAAAAGTTACTGAGTTTTACCCACAAACTTTGATTTTTAATGCCTATATATTTGCAACCTGAGGCCGTAGACCCTTGATGTTGCAAACTATAAATTCTGTTAGATCAAAAGCTCTGAATATCAAAGGTTTGCGCTTTAGGCTGCAAAGATATACAGAAAAGCATTGGGAAATTTGAGTTTGTAACAAAAACTAAGTTTTTCAAATGAAAAAGTTAAATTTCTTGCCTTATTACTTTTCATAAAAACTCAAAAAAGGGGGGGGGGGTCCGGCTTAACCTTAAATTACAACCACCAGATTTCAATTTTAATTGTATTTAACTGTTTAATTGTTAAATGGGCGATGAACACAATTAATAAATATCCTTTTTTCCATGAGGGATAGATAGATTACGACTTGAGCTCCGCAAAACAAGTCAACATTGATAATTGTGTTATCGCAATCGCAAATCAACCAAATAATAAATGCGTAATTTGTCTTAAAAATGTATTTAACTACAAAAGTACTCTGTTACCCAGTTTTACTTAATAAACATATATTTCGATGTTAATTATATTTTCGAAATGTTTTTCTGTTAGAACATATCGCACCGAAATAAACATTTGAGTCATAAGTTTTCATGAGGAGGTTGGGGGGGGGGGAGGGGTGCTATGATGTTAAAAAAAATCAAATATCAGTGGTGGAAATAACGCAAATTTTAATTTTAAAGTACAGACTTGGAGCAAGCACTGGACCTTGAGTACATGCTGACTCATCCTCGTGTTTCTTGAAACCTCTCTCTTATTATCTATCTTTTTATTTATTGTCTTACTCTCTGGTAAACTTACATTCCTATATTACGTTATCAAGGGTTTTCACCATTATTTTCATTTCTCCTTGAATTCATTTTTTCGCAATTTATTGTTTCACTATTTAAACAGGCCGATAGTCAGGGGGGTGAGGGGGGGTCATGGGTCCTAAAAGGGGGTGCAACTTAGAATTCGCCCCCACCAAAAAAATGGAATTTCTTTTAAACAGCTAAAACAATATCATTCAATTTAAAAAGTGCACTTTCGGTTGTGCATGTCGAACTATATCCTTAAAAAAAGAATATTGACCGAGTTATCTCATAGAAATTCATGGAAATTCAAAACATTTTGACTCTCTTAATAGATATAAGTAGCTATGATCGGAAACATATACCATTTCAATCTTACATACATGCAGTGTTCAGTTGCACTTTTAATGAGAAAATCAAAACCGTTGGGAATATCTTTGAACTCAAGGTTTTGATGGAAAACACACGGTAAATAGTTAACAATCTCCCAGTCAACCAAAGTTAATATCCTAAACCTAGTGACTTTGAGGCCTAGATAATTGCATTTGCAAAGTTCAACTTTTTAACTCTATGACTACTAGTCACTCAGGCGCCGGAGAGCTGGATGATAAATTCTGATTTCAAATGTGTCCTCACGAACCATTTATAATGCTGATACCCTGCTACCAGCTGAAGAGATCTTATTAATAGAATAATTAAGTTTTATAAGTTTTCAAATTGTCATGAGAACCATTAAATAACTTTACACAAATTATTTTGACCAGAAAACAGTAAAGTCTAATGAATTCATGATTTTTCAACATCCTTCAGGCTCTAGAATAATAAAAAAAAAACTGTCCAGGGGAAAAAAATTAAAACATAAAAAATGAAAAAAAAATTGGAATTTAACACTAATAAATATTCAAACTTTATCAATAGACAGACCGAGTTCAGAGTTTTATTAAAGATCCCAAAACTTATGGAAGGAATGTTTGCCATAAACCACAAAATATTGCAACATGATTAAAATTGATTTTGCACTAAAATTGAATTTTGCTTATCAAGAAATATATTAAGTGATTTTAGTTGGTCAAGTCATTTTTTAAAGAATATGTGAAGAATTCTTGTAAACATTTTTAATGAACTGGATGATCTATAACTGAGTTTCTTAAATTCTATGGATTTGCTGGCAGCTGAGATATTAAGAAAATAGCGCTTTGACCGACTCGCGAGTGGCCATTTTCCATCAAAATGTATCATGGAATTCGTTTCATTTTCTTCCTTAGTCCATGTACTATTATTTTCAACAATTTTATTTATAGATTTAGTTTCAATAGCTTTTTGTAGAAGGCCAACAAAGTAAAAAGATAGGTTTTTTTGTGACCAAGCTTTACATAGAAATCTGCGAATTTCTTTTCACGATACGATTCGTTCTGTAAAATAGCTTCTTTGAACATTTTATATTTTTTAAAACTGCCAAAAGCTTACTATTGACAAATACAATTGTTTTTGCTGGGATTTTTTCCCAACACAACAGAGGCAGCTTTGCTACAGATGTTGGACGTTGGTATTTAAAACTTCAAAAAAGAAAAAAAATGGAAACCCTGCCTTTAAGGACCATGTTCTGATATAAATGAATGTCCTTTGTAAACATATACCTGGAATAAAGTGTATAGAATGAGTTGCACTTTTTCAAGAAGTAGGGGGGGGCCATCTTGTTCTACGATTGGCCAAATTTAAGACATGGCCATGAGGCGCAACTAGAAGAGAATTAAAAAAGGATATTACCAGAATATGCTTTGTCATGGTTGGGTAGTGATATTATTGGTTTATATATAAGTGCCCCGGACTAACTAACTAAACGATAAAAGAAAAAATCTAGGCGTGCGCGTATTCATGTTTTCTTTACCAAGGGTATTCTCCTTATATTTCAGTCTTTCATAGGTTCCCTTTATCAGCAGGCGGAGCTTAGTCTTATTATAAATAGATTAATAATCAAGTCGTAGAAAGTTGGGATCAACTGTTGTTTAGAAAACATTTTCTCAAAATCATTTTCAATGAATTACCAAGTTGTGTGGTGAACTTGAAACCTTGACGAGATCATGACTTTTACAAGTTTAGGCTTCATTCGGACTCCATCATGCAATTCATGCGCTACAGTTATCACACCTCACAATTTTAAAAATACATCTTTCAGTTTGTTTGTCAAATTTAGCGATTAAATGTTGCTCTAAAAGGGGTAATTGTGAATCATTCTAAAAATTTTTAGGATTTTTCTATTTTTCAAGTCCGATGCACAATGGTACCCTTAAAAGCTTTGCCTTATCAAGTATGAATCTAAATATAAATTTAGCTTGTTTGTTTGTATCCAATAAACGTTGAAACGGCTGAACCGATCAGGTCCAAATTTGTATTGGATCAGACGTGATTGTGTTTAAAAGTTTTTTATTTTTGTAAAATTTTGAAAATGCGCGAAATTATTATGAAATCCGCAAACTTTTTCTGTTTTTGTTTTATGCTGTATAAAGAGAAGATACCACAATTAAAAGTTGATATAGAAGATGGGTGCGAAGCGCCCTAAAAAAGCCTAGTATTTATAATTTTGAAAGCTGATTATTTACATTTCGTGGTTTCTACGTACAACTGTGACATGCGCGTTTCTGTTGCAGAAAAAATGTAAAAATTATCAGAATTAAACACTGTTCAAGCAGGAAAAACGACGATATCTTTGACATTATTGATAAGATTCAAGGGTACCGTTGTGAATCGGACATGCGATTTTTTAAAATTTTTCTAATGGGGGAACACTTAAAATTAATCATTTTCAGTAGAATAAGAATTCATTTAATTTTCTTTGTAAGATCTCTCTATTGCAAATCTTAAGATTCCTAAGTTCATTGGTCAAAGTGCGTTTTTCAGGTAGTGAAGATTTTTAGGTTTTAAGGTTAAGCTGGGAGTAGGGAAAGTGTCTAGGAATGACGGGCAAAAAAGAATAAAAAATGGAGAACAGTTACTTGCCTCGGATTGACCATATTTCGGCGGCAGTTGGAACACTTCAAACTTTCACCATTTGAAAGTGAAAATTTCTTCTCAGCTTTTCTTATTTGGATTTATAAAAACTTAGTTTAATTAAAAAATTTAGACTTTCACTTTGAACATATTACTGTTAAGTTTAAAATACTTTAATCTTAATTTTTTTTTTGCAGAAAAATGGTGTGGAGAAATACATCTATCCTAGTTCTTGTACTGTACTGCGGACAGAGCATTGCTGCACTGGAGGTAGCAGCAGGACCTCCAGGGTTAAGAAATGACATCCAGGTTGGTTTGTTTTTTATTTATGTCTGCAACTCTATTCTCATAATATCTTTTATTTTTACGAAATTTAATAATATTGATTTAGTAAAATTATGAACTAAGCTTTCGTTAAAAAAGCCAACCCACTCAATTTAGACCAAACCAAGCCTAGAACTTTCCAATGCCATAGGTTCCTGAGTTATGACCGGACAAACAAACAGACAAACATATATTACTATTTTACATTACCTATTTGAAAAAAATATTTATTTTTACAAAACTAATTATTTTTTTTTTAAATTCAAATTAATATTGTTTATAATGTTTAGAACACCGAGGTACTGTCTGATGAGCAAGGGACTGGAAAACTTTATTTCACTGGACCAGGATATACAATCAATCTTATTCCACAAGCAATCCTTCTAGGAATCCTAGCAGCCAGTAAGCATATATCTAACTTTATTCATTTTTGAAAAAAACCGTTCAAAGGAATCTTTGCCAAAAACACTAATTTTCTAATCCCTATATCATTGAAGCCCAATGTCGGACACCTTAGATATTTCAAACCGTTTTATTCTGTTAGATTAAATAATCTAAGAAATTTCTTGAAACACCATCTGGTTGCAAAAAAGTATAGGAATGGGAAAATTCAAGTTTGTGGCCAAGACTCAATTCCTTTGGTGAATAAAAATTTTGTAGTTTTTACACATAACGATTGCACTCCAATCTAAGGGAAAACTCAAACTTTTGAGAAATTACTGGGCATGACTTCGTGATCTCGTAGCTTACATAATTTCTATATTACGCTCATAGTAGATGAAAAGAAAAGGAATTGAGTCTTTGCCACAAACTCTGATTTTCTTATCCCCATATATCTTTGAAACCTAATGTTGCAGACTTTAAATATTTCAAGTTATGAATTCTGTCCAATCAGATAATCTAACTTTGAAATATCAACGATTGACATCGTCTGGGTGCAAAGATATAGGGATTAGAAAAATTAAGCTTGTGGAAAAGACTCAATTTCTTTAAGATAGAAGTCGTGATAGAAAAAATTTCAATTCTAACGTTAAAGGAAAAGAGTCTTTGCCACAAGCTCAAGCTTTCCAATCCCTACATCTTTGCAACCTTATGGTAACCTTGGATATTTCATACTTAGATTTAATCCAACAGAACTCATAGTTTAAAATATTTAAGGTCTACGACAACGGGTTTGCTCAGATGTAAGGATTAAAAAACACCTCAATTCCTGTACTTAAAAACATAATGAATATATACCTCTTTAGTAACTCTTAAAAAATGATTTTTATTCTTTTTATTTAGTCGCAGCTTTCTTCCTGGGCCTTGACCTTTTCGGATCCAACAGCGCTTCCACCTCTGGTTATGGAGCTCCATCTGTAGGTTATGGAGCCCCAGAGCCCAGCTATGGAGCCCCCGTTGCTAGTTATGGAGCCCCTGCTGCTAGCTATGGAGCCCCTAGCGCCGGATATGATGCACCTTCTTCCGGTTATACCGCATCCGCCAGACAATTCGTAAGTTAAATTTTTTTTTAAATGACTGACGTAAACGAGACCAGCCTCGCAATTAGATGGCAATGCCCGATTTACAACGGTACTCTTGAAACTTTAATCTCATCAAAAACATCGTTTTTCTAACTCGATAAATGTTTAATACCGATAATTTCTCCAATAATTTCTTATATGCAAGAAAAGCGTAAATCAAAACAATCAGTTTTCTTATTCATATTTGATCACACAAAGCTTTCAAGGGTACCGTTGTGCATCGGGCATTGCCATCTTTGCATGGAGGGTCACTTGAAAAAACGCTTACAGTCCCTTTAAAGAAGGAACTGTAGACGTAAAGTGTCATGTCCAATTCACAACTTTTGTCTCTGGTCAAGGATGGCGCCGACGATATCTTTATTCTTCAAGCTGAAAATTGAGTGCAAGTAGACACAAGGTTGCAGTGTACATATTTGTGATTAACTAGTACTCAAGTTTCAGCTGTTAAATCAAGGATTTACTGGTACTCAAGTTTCAGCTGTTAAATCAAGGATCTAGGCCTATAACGTACTATACTTGCTCAAACAAACGTATACTGGGTACTGTTGTGAATCAGACATGCCAAGGTTTTTTCTGTTTTATTTTTAAATAGGGGTTCATTAAGGATTACTTCCTTGTTCCTTTAAAAGTTTGACTTCAACATTTTTACTTTGTGTGTATTTTAAAGTGTTTCTGAAAAACCTACATAATGATTTTTGATAAATAAAATTAGCTTTAAAAAATCTAATTCGGTTGCTTTTTAGGATTATGCCAAGTCTAACGCAAACCTAGACCAGTATGATACCCTCTCCAGGAGGAAGAGAAGCTCTTTCTGAAAAAATCATAGTTATTTCTGAAAAATTCGCAGTTTTTTTGTATAGCCCTTTGGGACTAAACCGACACCATTGATTACAATTCTGTAGACACACAATGAAACACATCAAAATAAGACCGTACTATCAAAATGACCTTCATTAAAGGGTGGTAATACCCTTAATTTTATACTAGTCATTATTATTAGATCAAAAAAAACCGTACCTATAATACTTACGTTTTTTGTAAACGTAAAGGATTAAGACTTTTTTAACACATGTACAAGTTCAAACTATACAAAGACATATAAATGTTGATACATAAGACTCACAAAACAATGAGACAGTAAAACAATTTAAATCATTAATTTTTTTGTTTTGTAATAACATTTTTTTAAATTATAATTTTCCAAGTTAATTTCTGTGGTTGAAAATATAAGAATTTACATGAGCGATTTAGTTTTTAATTGAGTAGTTTTATTTATAAGTAAATATTAGCCTATGTTTTAACTTTCTTTTGAATCACTGTATCACATCAGTCGTAGCTATTAAATAAATGTATGCCATTAAAATGTGTTTTTTGTTTTGTTTTGTTTTTTGAGTCTTTGTTACAAATTCTGAATTTTTGATCTCAATATCGTAGACCTAGATATTTCAAACTATGAATTCCATGTTAAATCATCTAAGTTAAAAATGTTATAGATTTACAATATTAGGCTGCAAAGATATAGGGATTAGAAAATTTGTATTTGTGGTAAAGAATCAATTATTTTTAAAAACATGATTGGTAGAAATGAAAAAACCAGAATTTAAGATCATTAAGGGAATCGATAATTTATAAATTTAGCTTGTCTGTCTGTCTGTCTGTTTGTTTGTGTCCAATAAACGTCAAAAGGGTTGAACCGATCGGGCCCAAATTTTTTGTGGGATCTCACTTGACCCCAGGGAAGGTTTATGAATGATCAAAATTCCAAAAATTTGTGTTTAAAAGTTTTTTTTGTTTTTGTAAAATTTTGAAAATGCGCGAAAAAATCTTATGAAATCCGCAAACTTTTTTTTGTATTTGTTTTATATACTGTACAAAGAGAAGATGCTTACAGATGAAGCCACAATTAATCAACTGCGAGTTTTATAATAAGAAGGTGGGGGGGGGGGGCAAACGATTTTATACAAGTAGAGGAGCCTTCCTCACGTTCTTCCTGATTTAATCATCAATTTTCAAGACTGGATCGACTTTAAAGTGTCGCAGCGCCTTGGCCCATGCATTATAGATTCAGTAGAAGTAAATATTTCCATTTACGCCGATATCTATAATTGGATAATGAGCTAGATAGATATAGATAGATAGATTTTACCGTCATAAAATTTCTATTGGTTCAGAATAGACACTAAACACATGACTGAACCCTGATTGAATCAGGCGCTTATGGACTCGGCATACTAGAGTCGGCCTTTTATTTCACTACCTCCCTTATACATCTTTTTTGTAGACCTAGAAATAGATTGCAAAACTCGCACTAACCAGTAACAACTAACAAGCTGATTAAACCATTTTATGTGAAGGAAGTCCAGAAATGTAATAATTGGTTTTTATGTGTTTAATTAGAATAGAACTAAAAACAAATACATAAAAAAAAACTTGGAAACCCAGCTTTAACCCACTGAACTTGGAAGCTACCATCTCAGCTAAAAATATTTCTATGGTTCTTCTGAGTTCCCCAATCAAAATCTGGGGCAAGTCGGTCAAGGGGTTCCTGAGTTAGGATCGGACATACTAACAAACAAACATAGATTACTACTTTAAATATTAAAAAATGATTACTCCAAAGTCATAAACTTCTAATGAAGGTATAATCGAATACTTTAGTAATCCAATTTTAAAATTTTAAAAAAGTTCAGATTTTTTATTAATTTGATTCAAAAATTACGCCATTACTTCAAAACTAAGAAATTGAATATTAAATAGAAGATATAATTGTTGCAGAGTTTATTTAAATAATATAAATGTTACATTTACATAAATGTGGATTTATTTTTACATTTACCTGAATTATAGTAATTTTACAATTTTTACATTTATTAATATCTAATTTTTTAGGACGCTTTAAAATAAACTTCTTTTTTTCATGACTTCATCCTCAAACTGCAGAATATCCTTAAAAATAATAAATATTTTTGTTGTTTCCACAAAGGACGAGACTTCAGAAACGAGATTACACATTTTCTCTGATTCTGTTTCTATTAAAAAAACATTTCGCTTAACTTTATTTCATCTCATTTCTACGATTCTTTTAGTTTAGAAGAGATCACGGTTTCTTAAAAATTTTGTTTGAAGCAGATTTGTAATTATGATGAAATATTTTTATGAATAATTTATCTTCAGAATCCAGAAACCAACGATATCTCACAACATGGTATCAGATAAAAGGTTAAAGGATACCGCTGTGATTCGGACATGTCCTTTTCAATATAGAGTAACTTGAGTCTACAAGTTTAATCTTAAATGGTAATATAAGGGAAAGGATTAAAAGTATTTCTGCATAAGTATTCAAATTCAATTAATTAATAAATCTTAATAAATTTTTTTACTTAATTTCCAACCTAAGCATTTAAAAAAATCAATAAATTTACTTACAAAGCGTCTAGAATATGTGGACGGAGGGGCCGCATAACTCGGCACAGGGGCTCCATACGTTGGAACTGGCGCTCCGTACTTTGGAACTGGGGCTCCATACGTTGTGGCAGGGGCTCCATAGCTTGCAGTTGGGGCTCCATAAGTCGGTGCCACCCCTCCATAACCATATCCACCCGAAGAGGATCCAAAATCAAGTCCCAATATGTAAACGGCCACTAAATATACATTTTTCTACAAGCATAACAAAAATGATTTTACCTTAAAAATTGTAAATTATGTGAATTTAAGATATATATGCAGATTTAGCGAAAGGGAATCGAGTCTTTGCCACAAATTATAATTTTCTAATCCTCATATCGCGAAAACCTGTTGGTGTAAACCTTTGAAATTACTTACAAAGCGTCTAGAATATGTGGACGGAGGGGCCGCATAACTCGGCACAGGGGCTCCATACGTTGGAACTGGCGCTCCGTACTTTGGAACTGGGGCTCCATACGTTGTGGCAGTGGCTCCATAGTTTGCAGTTGGGGCTCCATAAGTCGGTGCCACCCCTCCATAACCATATCCACCCGAAGAGGATCCAAAATCAAGTCCCAATATGTAAACGGCCACTAAATATACATTTTTCTACAAGCATAACAAAAATGATTTTACCTTAAAAATTGTAAATTATGTGAATTTAAGATATATATGCAGATTTAGCGAAAGGGAATCGAGTCTTTGCCACAAATTATAATTTTCTAATCCTCATATCGCGAAAACCTGTTGGTGTAAACCTTTGAAATATTAAACTTCGATTATTTGATCTAACATAGTTTATAGTTTTAAATATCTAAGGTCTACAACAGTGGGTTGCAAAGATATAAGGATTAGAAAATCAGAGTTTGTGTCAAAGACTCAATTCCTTTAAAGAATTTCGGTTTGATTTCAATTTTTAAGAATTTAGTATTTGCCATAAACTCTGATTTTCTTATACCTATAATCTTTGCAACCCAATGTCGTAGATCTTAATATTTCAAACAATGAATTTTGTTAGATCAAAACATTTAAGTTTGAAATATCAAAGGTTTACACCATCAGATTTCAAAGATCTAAGGATTAGAAAATTTTAGTTTGTGGCAGTTAATTTCCTTAGTAAAAGTCTGATCGAAGTTCCATAAATTTCAGGTAATTTTGACACCACGAAAAAGGCAGACTACATTTTGGAAATGCCAGAGACATGGTTTGTTCAACTTGAATTTCTATCAGTATTTTGATATTTGAGCTAGCGCGCAATTTGAACCGGTGATTTGCGGTTTAACGACGCTGGTAAAATTCATTAAATTCAGTCTCAGGACTTTAAGGATATATTTTCTGATTATTGTTTCAAGAATTTAACACGAACCAGACAAAGATCATTATAGACAATCCTCAAATCATCTCTCAACTGTCACGTTTTGAAATATAAAACGAAACATAAAGCATGAAAAAATGATAACGAAAATCTATTTAAGAAGTTGCTTACAGAAAGAAAGAGCTCCTAGTAGAATAGCTTGAGGAATGAGATTAATTGTGTATCCTAAGACCAAATTTAATGAATTTGAGCTCGGTCGTTGAATTACAATACGGTCGATTCAAATACTTACCTCTAGTTCTGCAGTGTAGTTATTTACATCTAAAGGACATGAGATTAGTGATTCAGGATTTGTTATTATCCAACGAGGTTATAGTGTATAGAGTGATGATGTACACTAATCCTTTATTGATTTTATAGGCCATAAACTATACCGAGAGCGTACTGCATATCTGTTTATTATAAGAAGATTCTGGCCTAACCTACAGTATATCAATATTAGTAAACAGTTGTAAGTGTACAGTACAGCTAACTGAGCACACAGGTAGAGAACTATCATCCCCCCTATTATTAATCCTATAGATGATATTTACACTGCAGAACTACATATGAGTATTTGAATCGACAGAAAGTAGTTCAAAAAACTAGCTCAAATTCATTCAATTCTGTCCCTGGTCCAGTAAAATATAATTTCCCTGTCCCTTCGTCGTTAGTCATCAACTCAGAGTCAATCTAAAATAAAAATGAATTTTATCAAAAAAAACAGGAATTAAAAGGTCCAAGCTCAAAACTTTAGAATTGTGGATATCGAGATCAATGCATACTCTCCTCCTATTGTCAATCTAAAGATTATTTTGATCTTTGGTTTTTATCCAGGAAAGTGTCTAAAATTTAACCAATCAGAGTGACGTATGCAAAATCCCGAGCAGCTGCAATCAAAAGCCGGGAAACTTTAAAATTTTGCCCGTCATTTTATCACTGTCATTGGGCAGAACCCAGAAGAGATATCCAAACAAGGGAAAAAGTATGGATTAAGCAGAAATCAAAAGTGTCCACAGAGAATATTTAGATTAAACAATTGGTATTAAGGGTATCCAATTCTAAACACATGATTTTCAGTAACCCTACATTTATAGAGAAACATATTTGATTCACAACGATTCCCTTTAAACCAATCTTTTGCAGTTTTTGTACGTAAAAGCAATTTGCGGATTTTTACAGCAGAGTAAATTATCTAAAATCAACGCTTTTTTAAAGAGAAAAATTAAGATTTTTAGGTTTAGGAAATTGTTTAGAAGTCAACTACGTCTACTACAGTCCTTTATTTTTTTATTTTTTTACTTTTCTGATCTGCAGGCGGCATTTATTCGTAAAATACTATTATTACAATATAGCATCTACATTCTAAATTCTACATTAATATCTTTAGTTTTATGTACGATCAAAAGTCAAAGCTCATGCAACAAAAACTTGCCCGAATTGAATTACGGGATTGTCCTTAACTTGATTTAAAAATTGCTTAAATGTTTAGACAAAACTAGTTATAAAAGACAATTTTTAAGTCGTCAGTTAACTCTCATGTGTAATGAGATATTCTCCAATTT